TGGGCTGGGAAATGGGAGCAGAAGTGATGGTGGCCTGAACTTTGTGTCCTTCCTCTTTAATTTTGGCCACAGCCTTGAGCAGTGGGTGCTATTACTCATAGCCCATCTCACAGAGGGAGAGACTGAGGCACAGACAGGTTGGATCACTTGCCCAGGGTTACACAGCCACTGTAGGCATGGGCTCCACATCCCCCACTAGGAGCCACTCCACCTTCTTGCCTCAAAGTCAGGATCAGACAGGGTGGGGATGAGGGAATAGGGGTGCTGCCCGGGTGAAAACTGGGAGCAGGCAGACAGATCCTAAGAGTGAGCTGTTCTGAGGGATGGAGTGACAGGGAGGAAATCCTCCATGACAAAGAGAAGCATTTTTAAGGATGAGCCATCTGCAGCCAGAGAGGGCAGCTGTGCTCCTGGCTCCCCACAGCTCTCCCTGACACCAGACTGTGCTGGAATTTAGTATGTGGTACAGTGGAAGTGGTGGTGGTGGTGGTGGTGGTGATGGTGATGGTGGTGGGTGTGGCAGTTATGATGGTGGTGGTGGGTATGGTGGTGATGGTAGTGATAGTGATGGCGGTGGTGGTGATAGTGGTGGTGGGAGTGATGGTGGTCACAGTTGTGGTCATGGTGGTTGTGGTCATGGTGGTGGGAATGATCGTAGTTGTGGAGGTGGGAGTGAGGGTGGGGGTGGTGATGTTGGGGGTGATGGTTGTGGTGGTGATGGGGGTGATGGGGATGGTGGTGATGGTGATGGTGGGGTGATGGTGGTGGTGATGGTGGTGATGGTGATGATGGGAGTGGGAGTGATGGTGGTGGTGACGGTGGTGGTCGGGGTGGTGACGGTAATGGTAGCAGCAGCGTTTGTAGGAAGGAAGTGACGCCTGGTCTTGGTGCAGCTACGGGACCTCAGTTCTCGTGACATGAGGCCCTGTTGGGCACTGACCACAGGCTCCCATCCTCTCCCGCAGGTACATCCGCTCGGAGCGGTCCGTCATCCTCATCAACTTCTGCCTGTCCATCATCTCCTCCAACGCCCTCATCCTCATCGGGCAGACCCAGACTCGCAACAAGGTAGGTGGCCTCGGCTCTGCCACGCACACCCCAGTGTCCCCAGATGGGATAGGTGATGCGGTGACAGTAGGTAATGGAAGCTTAGGGAGGAGGGGACCAGAGCCACTTGGAGTCCTTACTTGTCCTCTGGCCACGGCAGCTATGTGGCTCAGGCCCGGGGGGTGGGGAGTCGATGTCACCTGGCCAGGATGGGCATGGAGACCTGGTGTCCAGAGTCTCCAGCTGGTCAGGTGCTTTGTGATGAGCCAGCCCAAGCCCTGTCCCCAGTTCACTGCTGGGCATCAGGCTCTGTCTGAGCTTGTGTGTGCTTTGTCCTGTGGCCCTGGGTTACCTGCCCTCCCTGGGCCTTGGGGTCACCACCTACTGAACAGATGGGTTTGGACTGGGGATCTTGAGTGGGCACCTGGCCAGCGTTTGGTGCATCTGCAAATGGGTGGGGGAGGAAAACAGGGTGGGAGGGGCAGTTTGTGGGCAGGGTCCTGCAGCCAACCCCCAGGGGGCTTAGGAGCTCCACAGCCCACCTCAGGGCGGTTGACCAGGCGACCCCTCCATGACTTCCTGCCTGGGGATTTGACCTGGTCACCGATGTGGTCCCTGGCCACCCAGGCGGGTGTGGGCCTGGGAATGAGGCCCAGCCCTGCCTCCCACCCGCACACCTGCCCGCCCAGGTGGCCTGCACACTGGTGGCCGCCTTCCTGCACTTCTTCTTCCTGTCATCCTTCTGCTGGGTGCTCACCGAGGCCTGGCAGTCCTACCTGGCCGTGACAGGCCGCCTCCGAAACCGCCTCATTCGCAAGCGCTTCCTCTGTGTGGGTTGGGGTGAGTAACCAGTCCCCTCCCCCCAGCTTCCCCGGTCCCAGTGCTCCCCCAAATGGACCCCTTCCAGACATCCACCCTGCCGTAGAATCGTCAGGTAAATTACTAACACCAAGTCGAACTTGAATTTCAGGTAATAAATAACTTTTTGGCATAAGTATGTCCCATTCAATATTTGAAACATACTTACACCAAAAAATGATTCCTTTTACGTCTGACACTCAAACGTGACTAGGTGTCCTGTGTTGGTAATCTGGCAGCCCTGCCCCCTAGTGCTGCAGGCCCTCATCCCTGTCCACTCCTGTCCTGTCTCTCACATGCTTAGTGTCACCCTCTGCTCAGAGGTTTCTGTCACAGTCCTGGCGCCCTGCTCTCCGCCGGCACAGCTTAGATGGCAGGGGACCCACTCCCTCTTTCTGGTCCTTTTCCAGGGCTCCCTGCGCTGGTCGTGGCCATTTCCGTGGGATTTACCAAGGCCAGAGGGTACAGCACCATGAACTAGTGAGTCAGGGCAGGGTGGGGATGTGCGCGAGGCCACACAGCACCCCCAGGCCCTCCCACTGCCCTAGAAGGCAATGGCTGGCTGGACCCCCATCTCACAAATGAGAATGCCAAGACTAAGAGAGAGTGAGGGCCCCAGGAGCTGGAGGCCTTCCTTCCATCAGCCAGCTCCTCCCCAGCAGTGGGCAGCAGGATCGAGAGAAATAGTGCTGGAGCAATTGGGGCCTCCTGCCTCCTCCTTGAACAGGTCCATTAGCCTGTCTGACCCCAGTTTCACCATCTGGTGGGGCGTCCACCCCTGCACCAGTGGGACTGTAGGGAGGCCCTAGATAGGACAGAGTAGGCAGTGGGGGGCCTGTTTCACAGAAGATGTCATTGAGGTCCTGAAGAATCAGCTGGGTGAGGTCCAGGGGCCTTGAAAGCCAAGTCAGGAAGCTTGGGATTACTCTAGAACCAGTGTGGCTTCCCAGGGTGGGGGGATAGGAACTGAGGCCTGCAGGGGCCATGGCTGCAGGGATGGGAAAGAAGAGATTGGCAAGAGGCAGGAGGAGCCCAGGGGGACAGAATGTGGCCGGTCCCTGGAACAAAGCCCCATCTGGGCAGTGGGGGGCATTGGACATGAATGAGGACCCAGTTACTGGAAGCTCCAGTGGGGTAAGTGCTGAGAGGAAGGAAAACCCAGCTTGCTGGGGTCAGGGGTGGATCAGGAGAAGATGGGGACATTGAAGTGGGATTCTGAAGGATGAAGAGGAGTTTGTTTGACAGACAGCATAGGGCAGAGTGCTTGGAGCAGAGGAAAAAGTACATGAAAAATACAGTGCCTTCCCTGAGCTCCAGGCTCCTGTGCACCACATTGGATGATATCCAGGAGCTTTGGGGAAATGGGCTCATGACAGTGTGGGGTGAGGAAGGGCCAGGCCAGATGTGCAGGCAATGGCCAGGTGCTGAGGCTCTGCGGCTGCATTAAGTGAGCAGGCAGAGGGTCCGGTAGGGACCCAGCCCAGCATTTGGGCATCATGTCAGAAAGGAGAGTCTGCGTGTGAGATTAGGGAGGGTCAAGGAGATGGGAGAGGTGATAGGTGGGGGAAGGGAGTCAGTCAGGGCACGTGGCCCTCTGCTGTGTGCCCCTGCTCTGGGCCTGCTCCTCCATTCGTAAACTGGGAGATTATGGTGCCACCTGGGGCTTCCAAGGGCGCTGAAGCTAGAGAATGAGTGTGAGTCCTTCATTCAGGGGGCCCGTCAGCCTTGCTGGGTTCCTCCTGCCCCTCTCAGCATTTCAAGTGTCCCCCCTGGGAAGCTGTGGTGTCCCCCCTGTGACAGCGCAGGGCCCAGGCCTGGTGGATAAGCAGCCTGTCTCCCTCCCCAGCTGCTGGCTCTCCCTGGAGGGGGGACTGCTGTATGCCTTCGTGGGACCAGCTGCCGCCGTTGTGCTGGTACGGATCCCGCCCCATGGTCCCAGGCTCAGGCCTTGGACTGCGCATGCTGCTCTCCGTCACTGGGGAGTAAGCCTTGTCCACAATCCCCTGCCCTGCCCTTGGGCTGCTGGGGGTGCAGAGCCTGGGCTAGGATAACCGTTTTTCACTTCTGTGATCAGTTTGCCCAGTTCTCGGGGACCAGCTCCTTTATTCCTGAAGGTACGGGCAGGGAGAGGCTGCATGCCAGGCCTGCCAATGCAGCGATTCCATGGCAGGCTGTTAAGGGCAGGTACCCAGGAGGGGTGGGAAGGGTGGGTGGTGGAAGCAGGAGCCTCTTCCCACCCATGTCCCTTCTCAGGATGCATCTGGAGGGGAGGGGCTGATCCTGACCCACTGTGGAACCCCTGCCCCAGGGTCCCTCTGGACATGGGGACATGTAGGTAAAAGGCTGGACAGGTTGGTGGCAGCCGGTGTCTTGCCCTCCTGTCCTGGCCATGGCAGGAAGGAGGTCACCCAGGAGAGTCACCTCCATCCAGCCAGACTGCAGAGCATTTGGTGGCCATGCCTGGGACCTTCTGTTCACAGGATGGTGGAAGACAGGGCCTGGGCACCCACTGAGTGTGGATCAGCCTCCCCAGACCTCTGGGCCCAGGGGCCCAGGTCCAGAGATCTACGGAGGCCGAGGGTCCCCAGGCCACAGGAACTCAGCCAGGGTCAGGCAACCTCTCTGCAGGATGGGAGCAGAGAGGAAGGCATTCAGGGGAAGCATGTGAGCTGGGACCTCCACCCTCTACCAGCAAGAGACCAGGGGAGAGGGGAGACCCAGGAGCTCCAAGGCCATGGAGGTGTCTGAGGGGGGCGCCCTGGGGACACTTTCGTAGTCTCAGGTAGATAAGCAGCAGCATGAGAGACTTTCTAGGGGGCAGGTGCCAGCCCTGGGCAGTCAGGGAGACGCCTGGTGGCTGGGGTGGTCCTGAACTGAGGTCTGTGACGAGCTCCCAGGCAGAGTGCAGGAGCAGCATGGCCCCAGGCAGAGGCAGACCGAGGCCTTGGGTGGGGATGAGGTCCCCATCGTAGGTGGGCTACGAAAGCAGGGATGCTGAGAGGTGGAGAAGCACAGGGCAAGTCTGGGCATGGTGACAGCTGGACTGGAGGTCACTGAAGGTACCTTCTGTGCTCTGAGCAAGGCAAGTGCCCTGGCAGTGCAGGGGGCCGGCCTGCTCCCATGCTCACCCGGTCAGCCCCACTCACCCCCACTTCCCACACTGCAACCGGTCATGGTGATGGCAGATAGGCCTCTGGGCTGATTAGCTCAGCCCACCCCCAGCCCCAGCCCAGGGCGCCCACCCCACCCCGCTTGTGGGAAGACTTTCGTCTCCTGAGCCCCAGCTGGGTCAGCCTTTCCTTCCTCATGTCCACCCCACCTGACAGGGCTCCCAGGTCGTAGCAGAACGTGTCAGGTGGGAGGCTCGAGCTTCAATGCCCAACCCAGTCGGGCGGGAGGGTCCATGAGGCAGGGAGGGCCCCACCTAACAGCAGGAGGAGACAGCGGGGTGAAGGGGGCACAAGTAGGGGCCAGGTTGGCAGAGTACACTCTGGTGGCTTTGCCTCTTCCTGGAGCTCCGTCCCCTGACTGGGGCGTGGGGAGCACAGCCATGGGCAGAGCATACGTTAGGTCCCCGTGTGGAGCCGGTGCCGCGCTGACCTATGCACACGCAGACACCCCACACCCCACCTCTGCCTGCAGGTGAACATGGCCATCGGGATCCTGGTATTCAACAAGCTTGTGTCCAAGGACGGCATCACAGACAAGAAGCTGAAAGAGCGGGCAGGGTAGGACCCTGAGCTCCAGCACAGCTGGGGAAATTGAGGCACAGCAATCTGTGCAGGCCCACAGCCAACCCCTGCCTTGCTCTGGCCCATTTTCTCCATCTGGCCTATGACAGGGTGGGGGTCCTATAAGGTCCTAAAAAATAGTGAAACTGATTGCTTTTGGAGACCTCACCTTTGCCAGGCCTCCCCTTCCCCATCTTGGGGTTGGGTGTCCATCCTATAGTGCCCTTGACATGGGAGAAAGGGGCAGTGGATGGCCCGGATGTCCTCCTACCTGGGAAACAAGCCCAGAGAGGGTGGTGCCTGGCCAGAAGGCACACAGCACTGCAGGTGGCCATGCCCAACAGTGGGAGAGAGTGTGCTTGGGAGGGTGCTGCCCCTCCAGTCTGCCAGGGAACAGGACCCCCAAGTCCTGGGAGCTCCAGGGCACGGAAGCACGGTCATGGCCAGGGCCAACAGCGGGCCGGGACAGGCCCCCTGTCTGTCCTGCCCCAGCCCTCTGAGCCCTTCTCACCTTGCCTGTATCTGCTCTCTGCCCCTCACCCTGGCTGGTGTCTCTGTCGGAGACCCATCCCCTCTCCCCCTCCACTCCATGCTATTCTTGTTTGGTCTGTCTGTCTCCTCTCTTCCTCTTTCTCCCTCTTCCTGCTCCTCCTGCTCTCCCTGGTGAACAAAATCTTCAGGAAACCAACCCCTTGGGTCCCTGGTGTGTTCTGGTCCTGGTTAGGAACCTGCCTTTGGGGAAGCCTGTGACCCTGTAGTGCCTCACTCCAGCCAGGGAGCCTGGCCTCATGGTCTGCGGCCTGGGAAGGGGAGGCTGGCAGGCCTGCTCAGGCCCATCCCCACAGCACAGCCACTCACACGTGCCCCCCAGATAGCACCACACAGCAAGGAGGCCACAAGGCTGCACACCGCCTGGCTGAGGAACTCGAACACGCCCACCCTGTGCAGGGCACTGTCTGTTGGCGTCCTGCAGCCAGTCTTCAGGCAGGCTCTGTCATGTTCCCATCTTGCAGCTGAGCAGACTGAGACTCAGGCAGGGTGAGTGGCGAGTGGAGCGGGATTGGAGCCCAGTCAGGTGGATGCTAGAGCCCAGCATGTCTGACAGCTGCCTGCCTTTTGAGGCCCTTCCCCCTGTGCACTGGGTGCTAGGCTTGGGAGCACTCCAGACTTGCCACAGGCTGTGCAGAGGAGGCAGCCTGCACACCCCTGCGTCCACTCACACACGGTCAGGGCACACCCACAGGGTCGTCGCCCAAGTAGCTCTCAGACACCCCATCAGATGGATCCCTTGCTTCCAAGCTGGAGCAGCACATAGACCAGACATGGGGGGACCAGAAGAAGGTAGCAGTAGCCTCCATCCAAGAGTTCTGCTTTTGTGCAATTGTGGGTGGATAACTGAACACCTATGCACAGAGGAACCAGCCATGCCCTCCCGCTCCCAGGCTCTGGGTGTGTCAGGTGGAAAAAGGCCCCAAAGACACCTCTCCTCCCCTGCCCCCCAGGACCTCATCCCCATTGCCCCTCAGACCCATTCTTACTGTCCCCCCAGGACCCCACCCCCACAGAGCCCTGTCCCTTTGTCCCCACAGTATCCTATCCCTACTCCCTCCCAGGACCTCATCCCCACAAGACCCCTTTCCCGCATCCTCTGGGACCCATCCCCACTGCCCCCCAGGCCCCATCCTTTTTATCCCTCAGTCCTCCAGTCCCAGGACCCTGTCCCTCTGCCTCCCCAGGACCCCATCCCCCTATCCTCATAGAACTCTGTGCTTTTGCTCACCCAGGACCCTGTCCCCACTCCAGGAGGCTTGGACTGCACTGCTCTCCAATTGGTTTCTGCAAGAACCGTGTCTGCTCTGTTTCAGCCTTCTATTCCACTTGTAGTAGCTGCTCCATGCTTCCCTGGGGCGCACCCCCACATGTGCCAAGTGCACCTCCAAAGCCACCAGTAATACTGTGTTAGTGCCTCTCAGTGCCCACCTGCCCCACCAGGCTCTGCTCTCTTCTGAGTCACATTTTTATTATTTTAAGCTTTTCTTATCATTTCTGCCGCTCGCTGGGGTTCTAGGCAGTCCCTGCCTGCCCTCCCCCACTACCACCACCACCATCCCCTCCCCTCTCCCCAGGCCTCGTGAGCCAGAGAGACCAGAGAGCAGGGATTCCCCTTGGGCAGAGTACTGTGTACAGGGTGGCCGTGGGTGTGCTGTGCCTGGGCCAGTATGTGCGTACATGCGTTGAAGTGTGTGACCGTATGTGAACATGACAGGCAGTCATGGCAGTGGAAGTGGGTGGGCAGGCTCAGGGCCAGCAGGCTGGTTTACTGTGCCCTGCACCACCAAGGGCTATGAGCAGGGAAGACGGCATGGGCCTGCTAAATCTGGAGGGAGTGTGGCTCAGTTGACCAGGCACACACGTCCCTACCGTTGGACTCTCCTGTGGTCACTCCCTGAGCTGCACGCTGGGACCCAGGATGTGATGAGCCCCTGCAGAGGGCAGTGCTGGCTCGGCTGGGGAAGTGGAGCAGGCGTGGTCGCAGTGCAGGGCACGGGTCTGGGTGGGCCGGAAGCCTCTTAAGGCGCAGGGCTTGAGGGAGAGGGCTGCTCCTTCATGCCTGACCCACAGTGGCAAGCGTAGGCCACACTTGGGGATACACTGCCCTTTGGGTTCAGGCACGGCCCTCTTTCTGTTTCACACGCCAATCTCCATGGAGGGCAGCACCTCACCCTGAGATGCGGGGAACGATACCAAAAGCCTGGGGGGCCGTGACCTGTGAGGTCACGCAGCTAGTGGCCCTCCCAGTACCAGTCCACCCTGACTGCAAAGGGGGTGGATGGGGTGACTGCCCGAGGGCCTCTCTCCCTGGCTCCTCTCCGCTGATCACGCTGGAACTTGCTGCTCCACGAGGCCTCTGCAGAGGCTACGGGAATTAGTGGTTTCAGGTCCCCAAGCTCAGCCACCTGCCAGCACAGGAGCAGCAGCGATGACTGTGAGGCCTTGGGCCGAGGAAAGAGGGTGAGGAGTTGGGCAGTGCTTTTCCCAACGTGAGGGCAGGGCACATCCAGGGGTCCTGGCCAGGGAAGATCTGCTTTGAACTGAGGAAAGAGACTACTGGGCCCTGCCCACCAGGATGGGGAAGCTGAGGCCCAGAGCCAGGAATGGGCAAAGACATCACCAGCTGTGTGTGTCTTCACAGAGGGCCCACTTGTTCAGGCTCTGTGCCAGGTGCAGCCACAGCAGGCGTGGGAGGAGGCACAGGCTGGTCATCCCAGGAGGAGGGAATGCCTGTGGGTGCAGCCCCAGCAGGGGCCCGCCAGCCTGCTGCTCCCCCATGTGCTCGTTAGCCAAGGACCTCCATGGGTTTGGGTCTTGTGCCGTGGTCAGGGCTGCTGTTTGAGAAGGGCCCATGGGAGGGGGTCCTGCAAGGAGACGCCAAGGTTGTCTAGGGAGGGGAGGGGAAGACTGGGATCCATGACGTCCAGTCCTGGAGCGCATGCTGTGCCTGGACAGGAGGGGCAGACAGCAGAGGACCCCTGGCTCTGGCCTGAACCACCAGGTGGGTGGCCAAGGAGCTGTCCTTGAGCTGGGAAGGCCTTGGGTCGGGGCAGGACCAGGAGCTCCATCCTGGAGAAGAAACGGGACTAGGCCTGGGATTGGGGACCTTGGTCTTAGCGACTGGCCGGGGGGTGGAAGAGAATGAGGAAGAGGGGGTAAAGGAGGGCCACGGGGGGCCAGGAGGCAGGCGTGGCCACTGTGCCGTCTCAGGGAGGCCTGGAGGTGAGTACGGACATGCCCCAGCCTTTGCAGTTGGTCCCCTTGCAGGTCCTGGGCCGTAGGGCAGAGTGTGCAACCTGGGAGAGGTCCTGCCCCTGACCCCCTGGCCCCCAAGGCCCTCTGGTTTGGGGGACCTTGTCCCGGCTGGACCCCAGGCCCTCTCAGCCTCTCTCCCCCCAGCCCTGAGTCCCCAGTTCCTTCCTGGTGGCCCTGCCCTAGATCCCTCTTCTAATCTCCTGCCCCACCTGCTCTGCTTGTCCTGTGAGGGAGGAGGGAGCAAGGGGTCGAGGCCAGGTCCCTTTGTGATTGTGACAGTGCCCCCAGCAACCCCTCAAAATCCCTGCAGGCAGTCACTCACCCATGAGGGCAGAGCTCACCCTGGTTGGGTCCTCAGGCCGCAGTGGCCCTGAGAAGCATAATAGTGACCAGGATGGGCCATGTTTCCTAAGCACTAGTTGCATGCCAGGTGCCCTGCTAACACTTTCTGTACTCACAACAGCCCCTTGAGGTGGCATAGTGTCCCCACTGCATGATCCAGGAGACAGGCTCAGAGTGGGCACACAAGTAGCCTGTAATGTTGCAGGGAGGGGCCTGGGCAAGGAGGGCAATGACTAAAGGGGCTGTGCTCCTGGAGGACTCCCTGGATGAGGAGCTGAGGGCTGTGGGGCAGAGGCAGCCCCTTCCCTGGGACGGACAGAGAAGGGCTCACCAAGAGGAGGAAGCGCCTGTCCGTCTGTTCCTGTCTGTCTCTGCCCCTACCTGCCTAGCCTTGTCTGTCCTGTCATCTCCTCTCCCAGATTCTCTCCTCTCTCCCTCCCTCTCTGTCCAGAGCTCAGAGGCCTGACCAAGCACCCTTCCTTGTGGCTTCCTGGACAGTCAGGAAGCCAGGTGTCCCAGAGAGCTCCCTCCCTCACTGGGCACCAACCTCCTGAGTCCCTGGCTCCCCTGGGAGCCCTTATTGCTGGCAGAACTCGGCCAGATTGGTCAGGGAAAGGGTCCCTACAGATGACAGGGAGGGGTGATGAGCCCCTGGAAGAGCAGACACAGCCCAGACCCGGGGAGGGAGATGGGGGCTGAGGCCAGGTCCGGGCCTGGGTGTCCCCTCCCAGGTGTGGCCTGGGCTTCAGGCCAGGCAGCCATGACGTGGCCCTGTCTGCAGGGCCTCACTGTGGAGCTCCTGCGTGGTGCTGCCGCTGCTGGCACTGACCTGGATGTCGGCCGTGCTCGCCGTCACCGACCGCCGCTCCACCCTCTTCCAGATCCTCTTTGCCGTCTTTGACTCGCTGGAGGGTTTCGTCATAGTGATGGTGCACTGCATCCTACGGAGAGAGGTGGGCGCGGTGGGCACGGTGGTGTCAGCAATCGTGGTGGGCACGGTGGGCCTGCAGGTACCCCAGGCTGCTGAGCAGCCAGCCTGGCCCTGGAACTAAGACATTCCTGTGCCCCGAGCTGGCTCAGTCCCCGGGTGCGGGGGTGGGCAGGTACTCTGTCCTCCTGGGGCCCGTGGGAGCCACCAGAGATGTGAGCAGATTTCATGGCATCTGAGACTCCTATTCTGGCATTTTCTGCATCTCTTCAGAGGTAGCTAGAGAAGGTTTTCACCCAGTGACATCCCAATTGCCACCTGACTGGTAGCAACGGTTAAGGTGATGTCCCCATTCTTGGAATAGTTGAAATGTGAAAAAACATGCTTCGTGACATTGATGGACTCTGTGCTTCTTCAAGGTCTCGTGGAGAGCAGTGAGGCCTGGCACAGGGTCTTATGAGAGCATTGACGGCAGGGCACCAAGTCCCAGGACCAGGACGTCAGCGGGGGCTGAAGGGGCGGGAGTGGGCAGGCAGATTACGCTCCCCCTTGGGACCCCCTCGAAGGATGGCAGAGGGATTTGTTAAAGCACACAGATGTGAACGGATAAAGAAAGGGAGAGGAGGCAACAGTGACAAAACCTGGGAGGCTGGGAAGCAGAACTCAGCCCAGCTCGAAGCTGCAGCAGGAGACACGGGAGCTGCCGGCTCACGCCACTGAGACCCAGAGAGCTTCAGGCGGTGGGGCCACCAGGGCCCTCTGGATGCCTAGGGAAGGCCAGGAGTGGGGCTGCTGTTTCTCTGTTTAGGGAGCAGCTTTGATCCCCCCTGAACTGGCAGCCCCTCCTGGAACTTCACTGTCTGGGGTTGCACACAGGCCTGGAGGCGCCTGTGCAGCTGAAGATACAGATGCTGTACTGAGAACGTATGTGGGAAAACGTGTGCCGACCTCGGTCACCCTGCCAGCCGAGGCCCCTCACAAGCTCATAATACAGCCTGGGGAGATGTGGACCCCCCCCTCCTCAGGCTCCAACCACAGGGAAAAGCAAGAGGATGAAGACCTGAAGTTTCTGCCATCAAAGTGGCTCCAGTGGGTCCTGAAACCCAAGGACCTGAAGACAGCTTGCAACGGAAAGCCACAGATCTACCTAGTGGGCCACAGAGACGGCCCAGTGGAAAGAAACATCACAGACCCCACAGTGACATCCTCAGAGAGGAAAGGCCCACATGTGCCACATCCTGATCCCAGCTGGCTCATACCCTTGATCTCACAACAGTCCCTTCTGCAGACTGGCAGCTGGGAGCATTGCCTCAGGTGATATCAGCCCAGGTGGTCACACACCGACCAGGCTGTAAGGCCATGCTCATGGCCCTCGGTGGCTTGACTTGTGTACAACAAGAACAGTAAGCCATGAAAAGGAACATCACAGAACAGAAAGAGAGCTCGTAGGAATTAAAAACATGAGAGCAGGAACTGAGAAGTTGTGGCCAGTTCCTCAAGGCTGTGGCCCACCAAGGAGAAGGAGGAAATTGGAAAACGATTAGAAGGTGACTGTCCCCTTCTGAAGAGTATGGCCAGTGTGGGTCACATCCCCTTGGATGGATCATACGACTGTCCTCCGGAGCAGGAGCCTTACCCCCCACAGACATATGGTCTTGCCAAAGACACTTGTGGACACTCAGGCTGGGTATCCCCCGAGTCAGTGAGGGCCAGGAGGCCGTGGTGTGAAGGACAGGTCTGGACACCAGGTGACCCTCTTCAGCCTGAGGGCAGGTCTGACCAGAAGGACCCACAGCTTGTGCTCAGGGGCCCAGAATGCCACGTTTAGAGTTCTCACCACAAAGGGCACAGAGCCTCTCAGACAGGCGGAGGCTGTGCCCAGGCTCTGGGCCTGTGTGAATCAACTTCCCTCTGGGCACCACACCAGAGGTCTAGCCCTTGTTGGGCAGGAGCTGTCACTGACCGCCTGTGCTCTCCCTCTCCAGGTCCAGGATGCTGTGAAGTGCCGAGTGGTGGATCGCCAGGAAGAGGGCAACGGGGATTCAGGGGGCTCCTTCCAGAACGGCCACGCCCAGCTCATGGTAGGGCTCGGAGCTGGGGGCCCAGGCTGCCTGAGCTCTCTAGACCTCAAAACCCCTCCAGGAGGAACTCTGAGCCCAGATTGAGGTTGAGGAAACGGGCTCCCCAGGGCAAAATCTCTGGTCTAGGGTTTGGGGATGGGCAGGTAGAGTTGATGAGAGTCTGGGTGGGGCTGGTATCCAGCCCGTGTCCACCCCCTAGTACCAGCAGTGTACTTTGGTCAGACACCACCCTATGGGTGTCCCGGCCCTTGTCTCAGCCTTGTCCTCTTCGGCTTCTCCCTTGTCCACTCACCCCCCACCCTGCTGTGGTTCTGTCCTCAGCCAGATCCCCTTAGGCCTGACCTTAGATCCTCCAGCCCCAGATGCCGTCCTGCACACCCCGCCGTCTCCTGCTGCTCACCTTGCAGGTGTTCACTGAGACGCCACCTTCTCTAGGGAGCTCTCCCTGACTCCCCGTCAGATTGCCTGTTCCGGCCCCAGCAGTGCCCTAGGTGAATTCTCTACACTGTCATTTCAAGGTTGCTGCCCACCAGTGCACACCCGGTAGGCAGTGAGCTTAGCAGGCAGGAGGTGCTCATTCGGTCTTTGGGGTGCTTGGCCACCTTGTGGTGGTGGTTAGGGTCACAGGCAGGGCCTCAGCAGATGCTGGCCGCAGCCTGGGTAGGCTACTGGCCTTCTTTGGGGTAAGGGCGGAGCCTGAGGTGGAGGAGTCCCGGTCCTCGACCCCTGACACTGCTCCTGGCCTGACCTCTGACCTCAGACTTTGTGGTCTTCCTGCTAACCTGGCCTCTGCATTTTCAGGGAAAGAACTTGCAGGTTTGAGATTAAGGGTCCTTACCCCCACTGGAGGCCACACATCAGCCTGGGGGTGGCCCCAGTCGGATTCCCCAGCTCCTAGTTTGGGGTGGGGCAGGTGCTGTAAATGGTAGGGACCATGGCCACTGCTCAAAGGGCAGCTGGTGCCCTTCCCAGCACTGGACATCTGCATCACAGCCCTGCTGTGCCTCAGTTTCCTCATCCCCAGGGCTGTGGCAAGGACTGAAGGGGTGACATGGGGCAGGTCCCTAGGCACCACACCTTAGCAGGTGGTGACCTGGGCAGCAGGGGCCTCTAGTGGGGGGCCATATGTGCCCCATTGGAGGGATGTAAGGGACAGCAAAGGGGTTCTTGTACTGGAGGTCCAGGGAAATGGGGCAAGGAAGACTGAGGCCAGAGGGGCAAGAACATGCTTGAGCTATGGTGGGACTGGCCTCCCACTTCCCAGCCAATCCATGAACACCCTGGAGGGAGAATGTGTTCACATGTGTGTGTGCACACATGCACTCACTTGCTTACACATGCATACATTTGCACATGTGCGCAGACGTATGCACACATCATAATGCCTGTGCATGCACGTGTGCACTCATGTATACACGTGAACATGCACACATGGTGCGAGCATTCAGGGCGTGGCCACTCTCCAGGAGTTCACTTTGTGTGAACACATCAACACATGGGCACCCTTGAATGTGTGGACCCCCTTAGCCCTCAGGAGTGTGCACACAGACACGCGCGGGCACACATGCCCCTCCAAGGTGTTGCTGAAGCTCCAGTGTGACCCTTCCCCACCAGCCATCAGGCATTGTGGTGCTCAGGGCAGCAGCCCAGCCCTGCCCACTGGCCCACAGGCCCTCACCTGCCTTGTCTCTGTCTTGCAGACGGACTTTGAGAAGGATGTGGATCTGGCCTGTAGATCAGGTGAGCGCCTGACAGGTGAGAGCGACAGGTGGCCCTCGCCTGGGCCCACTTCTTTTTCTTTCTTCGTTTATCTGTTCATTCATCTGTCCTCATCCTACCCCTGCCTCCCGCAGCCCACCCAGACCAAGGAGATGCTGCCCTGGGAGCCCTGGCCTGAGCAGGCAGACATGGGCCCTCCCCAGGGTCTGGGCCTAACACAGACCTTGGTTTGCAGGCAGTCTGTGGGGCAGGGGACATCTGTGCTGGTAGAGTTCTCAGCCCTGGAGAGGACCGCTTGGGGCCTCCCTGCCCAGCCCCACCCTCTTCCCATTGTGCCCCAGTCCTCAGCACCCCCAGACACTGCCCGTCTCCGCCTCCACCCTCCTCCTCGTAGTGGCAGTGAGGCTGAGCAAGCTCTGTCCCCCGCCCCACCTTCCCCCTCTCTCACCCCTGCCTGCTCTCCCTTGAGGGTTTGTGTCCTGTGTTGCTTTCATTCATTGTTAGTCCAGCCGTGGAGAAGGAGCAAGGTGAATCTTCATGTGGTGGGAAATCAGTGGGAGCAGAGGAAAAGAGGAAGGACCCACTGCTAAGCCCTAGGCTAGTGCTGAGCTTCCTGGAAGGAAGGGCAAGAAGGGAATTAATTGCCCAGTGAAAGGAAGCTACCCAAGTGCCATTGTTCTGTGAGCCAAGGGTCTAAGGCACTGACTGGCAGTTGTTCTGGGGGGTGACCCTCTGTCTGTCAGATATTTGAGAAACACCGTCTCTAGAGACAGCCCTGGAGAGCTGCTGGGACAGCCCCAGGTGGGATGTGTCAGCTGTTGCCAGATAAACCCAGGAGGGCTTCCTGGAGGAGGTGATCTCTGGATTGGACTGAATAAGAACAGCAGCCGCTCCCTCTTAAGGTCATGTTATCTAGCCAACCTCCCTGAGAGGTGGCCTCAAGACTTGGGAGCTTTGGGGGCCTGGCCTGGCCTTGTTTGGGTGGTACTGGCCTCTCCGAGCTTCCATCTCCTTCCTCATTAGGAAGATAGCCCAGCCTGACCCAAGGTCTCCTGAACAACAAGTGACTATTGGCTGTGAGGTTGGGAATGGTTAGGAAGGGGTGTCACAAACAGAACCAAGCACTGAGCGTGTGGGAGGCAGGGTCCTTGTGTGGGCAGGCACAGGGTGGGGTAGGCATCCCAACAAGGGGCCACGCCCTGAAGGAGTTTAGGTTGTATGCTGAGTTCATGGGCGGCACATAGCCTGGTACACAGCGCTTGAGACTTTGATGGGAGGGAGGAGCAAGGGAGGCAGCAAACATGGGGCCCTTTCTGACCCTGGTGGGGTACAGGTTTGGCTGAGAAGATGGCAGGTCCCCTGTTGGGCCACATGGAGTGGAGGTTAGGGCTGCAGGCGAGGGGGCAGAGTGTTGGTGTCCAGCGTGTGGAGAAGAGAAGGGGCAGGGAGGGTGGCCTGAGAAGCTCGGACTTGTAGCAGGAGCGTGACCGTTGTCCTGCAATTCGGAGGCTGTGTGCTGATGAGATGGGATGTGGGAGGCTGCTGACAAGCTCTGGTCCTGGGGCTGGTTAGAGGTGTGGCATGGGAACCAGGCCACCTGGTCAGTGGGGAGGGCTGCGGTCTGAGAGGCTTCCTGAGGATGGGCCTGAGTGGGACTGGGTGGGGAGCCGGACCTGGCAACTTTGGGCTCTCCAAGGGCCAGCCAAGGCTGAAGTGATTGGTAGGATCAAAGGGGGGGGGGGCATGCCAGAGCCCAGGTCAGAGGTCATGGCAGCCTGGCCCCCCTGCAGCTGAACAGAAGATTGGGGCACTGGGCCCCCTGGAACAGGCTGTCCTGCCCACATTGAGGAGCTGTGTCCCTGCACATCTGGGCAGCATTAGTCACCTCAGGACCATCAGAGGCCACCCAGCTCCTAGAAGAGCAGTGTGTGGGTGGTGGTCATCTGTCTTGCTGTGGGGGTTCACACTGGCACCCTGTGTCCCGGCCTTGTTTGAAAGTACAAAAGGAACCCTGGCTACTGCAGCACCAGACACAGGAGGGGATGTGCCCAGTGGGGTCCTGGCCAGGCCACTCTTACCCCCCACCTGTCCCTCAGTGCTGAACAAGGACATCGCAGCTTGCCGCACAGCCACCATCACGGGCACACTCAAGCGGCCCTCACTGCCCGAGGAGGAGAAGCTGAAGCTGGCCCACACCAAGGTGCCACCCCCCAACTTCAACAGCCTACCAGCCAACGTGTCCAAGCTACACACACACAGCTCCCCCCGCTGCCCCGGCGGCCCCCTGCCAGACTTCCCCAACCACTCACTGACCCTCAAGAAGGGCCGCGCACCCAAGTCCTCCTTCGTGGGTGATGGGGACATCTTCAGGAAGCTGGACTCGGAGCTGAGCCGGGCCCAGGAGAAGGCCCTGGACACAAGCTACGTGATCCTGCCCACGGCCACAGCCACACTGCGGCCCAAGCCCCAGGAAGAACCCAAGTACAGCATCCACATCGACCAGATGCCACAAACGCGCCTCATCCACCTCAGCATGGCAACCGACGCCAGCCTCCCTGCCCGCAGCCCACCCTCCC